CGAGCCACTTAATCTGGAATAACATACTACACCCCCTTCGCGGAGTGTTCCCAGAGCCTCAACACAGATCGTGATTTCGCAGGATGGATTTCAAAGCTCTCCGTTGTAGCGTGAATAGCAAACGTCTATAGGAAACATTGTTAGGTAATTTGCTGAGGCCGGTTCAGATGAAAACCGGTTTTCCGTGTGTTATGTACGACGAGGGTCGGAGTGCAACGACAATCAGAATGACAATGGAAAAGACTGAGGGCCCGAAAGCTGGGCTTTATTCATCCAAAACTTTGACACTGAGAGCTGAAAACGGAAGAAAGTTATTTAGCAATAAATGAAGAAACGTTTGAAAAACAGAGCAAATATACAACATTCACCCCCCGCACAGATGAAAGTTCTCAAGAGTTTGATTTATAATTGAATAAGGTCAGGCCTCTCTGTTGCGCTGGACATACGGCCGTGTCCGCTGTTCTTGTATAACCAATGGGTGTTCAAAAGAATTCGACATTTCACTTTCCGAAGCAGAGTCAGATAGTTCCGGCTTAATAAATGAATCAGCGTTGGACTGTGGTTGCTGCTGTTCGGATGCTGGAGCACATCCGAAATCTGCTGAAGGGGCCAGGTGACGTAGGGAGACCGTTTCTTCCATGCCGTTAGAGTGTCTGACATATGCGTACTCAGGGTTACATTCCAGGAGCTCAACCTCTTCGACTAGGGGGTCGTACTTTGAAGATCGTGTGTTTCGCCGCATCAGAACTGGTCCTGGCGAAAGCAACCACTGTGGCAAGGACGTACCGACTGCGGATTTTCGATTGTGATGAAACATCCGCTCGTGTGGAGTGGCATTGGTGGCCGTGCACAACAAAGAACGAATCGAGTGGAGAGCGTCTTGTAAAACGGTTTCCCAGTGACTGATGTGAAGACCCTTTGATCGTAATGAAAGCGTAATAGCCTTCCACAAAGTTCCATTCAATCTTTCCACCTGGCCGTTCCCCCTTGGGTTATATGGAGTGGTCCGACTGGTGGCTACACCTTTTTCATGAAGAAATCGTTTGATCTCATCCGAAATGAATGATGAGCCACGATCCGAATGCACGAAACTTGGCAGGCCAAATGTGGCGAACAGTGGCACAAGGCATGATATCACCGTAGACGAACTGATATCTGGACATGCATAGGCGAACGGAAAACGGGAATATTCGTCTACGATCGTCAGTAGATATTTGTTTCGAGTCGTCGAAGGCAGTGGTCCCTTAAAGTCAATGCTTAAGCGTTCAAACGTTTGTGTGGCTTTAATGAGGGTACCGCCAGATGACTTGAAGAAACGTGGTTTTAGTTCCGCACACACTTGACACTGCTTAATGACGAGTCGGATATCCTCTAGGGAGAATGGTAGATTCTTGGCACGAACGAAATGCATCATGCGTGTTGCTCCAGGATGACACAGGGTTGTGTGTAAGCGTTTTAGATCCAGGTTAGATGAAGTGTTCGCACAGACACTTCGAGAAAGCGTGTCAGCAGCTTTGTTTTCTATGCCTGGTCTGTAGGTAACGTCAAAAGAAAAAGGCGACAACTCCATCCGCCACCGTTGGATTTTGTCATTTTTTATTTTCCCTTTTTGTTGTGTTGAGTACATGAATGCAACGGATCGCTGATCAGTTATAATTTTGAAATGGGTCCCGAGTAGGTAATGCCTCCATTTGCGCACTGCTTCGACAATTGCGCAAGCTTCTTTCTCAATAGCGGAATGGTGTTTTTCGCTGGCAGACAGTGTACGTGAGAAGAATGCGACCGGTCTGCCATCTTGATTGAGTGTAGCAGAAATCGCGACATCAGATGCATCAGTTTCGAGCACCAAAGGTATTCTCGGGTCGATAGTGACCAAGGCTGCATCCATCAACTCCTTTTTCAAACTTTCAAATGCTTTTATAACAGATTCAGGGACAGGAAAGGTTGTATTGTGAGTGATTGGGTAGATCTTATCCGAGAAACGGCTTATCCAACGAGAATAGTACGCGAACAATCCTACCACTCGTTGTTGAGACTTGATGTCGTTCGGAACGGGCAGTTCTTGCAATACCTTGAAGCGTTCAGGGTCTGGTTTGATGATACCTTCAGTAATTTCATAGCCGAGGAGTCTGAGCTTAGTGGTGGAAATCGTGCTTTTATCGTGATTTAACTGAAGGCCGTACTTTTGTGCTACGGTGAGGAAAAGCTGGAGGTTTCGATCATGTTCTTCTTGATTCTTTCCACAAATGGTAACATTATCCACATACGCATATGTCCCGGTAAGTTGTTCGGCGCGTATTATGTCATCCATTACCCTTTGAAAACAGGCTACCCCATTCGTTACTCCGAAAGGTATTCGACGGAACTGATAGAGGTTGTTGCAAGCCTCAAAAGCCGTGTAGATTCTGTCGCTTTCTTTAATGGGTATCTGATAATACGCACTTTCAAGATCAAGCGTGCTGAAAATACGATATTGAGCTATTTTAGTACTTAAATCTTCAAGTCTGGGGAGCGGATAAGCGTCCAGTTGCGTAAATCGGTTTATAGTTTGACTATAGTCAACCACCATTCGCTTCTTCTGTCGTTCATTTGTCGTGACGAGCACTTGCGCTCTCCATGGGGACTTCGAGGGTTCAATGATGTGTTGGTCAAGTAAACGCTTTACTTCAGAAGCAATGAAGGCCTCGTCGTCTGCAGAATGTCGCCTGGACTTTATGGCGATTGGCTTGCACCTTGGGTCAATATGCTCGAACAAAGTGGGAGGTTCAATTTTGGCAGCAATTAGGCCACAAAGGGAAAAAGAAGGTTTGTCACCGTTGAATGAGATTTCCAGGGACTTATGAAGCTTAAGAAAGTCATGCCCTAGCAAAATATCTGCACAGAGGTCACGTAATACTGAAAACCTGAAAGAGGGATACTTGTTTTGTTTGTGTTGCAACGTTAAAAAGCAATGTCCAAGAGTAAAGCTTTTGTGCTGGATAGATGCCAAAGTTATCTCAGATGACGATGGTAGTACAGACCACTTGTTACGACGGACTACCTTTTCGGAAATGAAACTTTCTGAGCTACCAGTATCAACAAGAGCTCGAAGCGGGACACCATTGGCTTTCACATCGGTGACTGCTTCTTTTAGACACTCAGGAGCCGCTGCAGTGACGCAAGATAGCGCACTTGAAACAGATGAGGTGTTCCGCGGACCAGTAGATCTGCATACCTTTTGAAAATGCCCTTTCTTCCCACAGTTTTTGCAGGTCGCATCTTTAGCGGGGCATTTATATCTCGGGTGACGAGCATAGCCACAGAAGAAACATGAAGACCCCACACTGGCAGCAGTCGCCTGCTCGTGCGATGACGTTTGAGAACGTGGGGACTTTGGCGGGTCGTTCGATACGGTGGCACAGGGAAGTTGAGTGTTCGGCAAAAACGACAACGACTGTTTTTGCGCTAGTTCGAGGGACTTTGCATGGTCGTACGCGGTTTTAAAATCCAGCGACTTATGTTCCAGCAGTCTCTGGCGTATAGTATTGGAATAAAGTCCGCTAATAAACGCATCTCGCAACGCTTCATCGGTATGCTGTTCTGCACTGACGGCTGTAAAGCGGCAGTCTGGCAATAAACAGCGAAGCTTCTGCACAAACTGATCAAGGTTCTGAGCTCCGTCCTCTTTACAAGTGTTCAAAAGATGCCGTGCAAAAACTTCATTTTTTGACTGTACGTAAATTTCTCGCAAGGTTTCGATGGCTGATTCATAGTCTTTGCAGTCTTTGATGAATCGGTCAACACTAGGGGAGACGTAATTGAACAAGGTTTTCAGTGTATGTGGTGAATGAGAACCGATTGACTCTAGGAAGTTTGTGAAAGGACGAAACCAACGCTCCCAGGTATCTGCCGAGTCTTGAGTATTGGGGTCGGTATCGAATCGTTCAGGACGTAAGAATCGATCCATTGTTCGAAGAAAACTTTTTTTGGGTGAATAAATTGTTGTGTACGGCGAGGGTCGGAGTGCAACGACAATCAGAATGACAATGGAAAAGACTGAGGGCCCGAAAGCTAGGCTTTATTCATCCAAAACTTTGTGAGAGAGAGCTGAAAACGGAAGAAAGTTATTTAGCAATAAATGATGAAACGTTTGAAAAACAGAGCAAATATACAACAACGTGCTTCGCGCACCAAAAACAGAGCAAATATACAACACCGTGCCCATTTCGCGCACCTCTGTCCCTCGCAAATAGGATGTTTGAGCTACATGAACGGTCTTTTGGAGGTCGTATTCAACGGTAATGTAGGCAAAAATGCATTCCTAATACGGTTGTACAGCATGTTTCACAATCTCCAGGGCGGTGTTAAACACATCGATCTGTAGTAATCTGACCCACTTTCTCGGAAATCGACTTATACTGGTTTTCTGGATGGTTGGAAGACGTCTAACACCCAGAGGGAGGCGGAGAGTGTGATGGATTGGACTAACTTTCAGAAGTAAGGGCTGCATTTCATTAGGAGAAGAGCTGGAATCTCACACTTGTTGACCGATCGGCGATCAGTGTCAATGTCTTTGTGAGGAACAGTTGTGCAGGATGACAAAAGTCCAGGCATATCGGTCTCCAAAGTATACACTGACGAATTTCGGGAAACTACGCGCTCATGTTTTGCACCATCGCCATGGAGTATCATTTTCGATTACGTAGGGATTACGCAGATATTCCGGATTTGGGTTTTACACCTTTTCCGGTAAGAAAACAGTTTCTTAGGATGCGCTACTGAAGGTGTAGCTCGAAGGTCGAGTGTTTTGCTTTAATTTGGTGCAGAGACGGTCATCAGGTTGGACCTTTTTGGATCTCAGAGATTGCATCTCTTCCTCATCAGTGATCGTACCTGGCACTTCATAACTAACCCAGGGTGGTCCTTTGGAGAACGCATGTCCTTCCGGAAGAAGGAGCATGTGCCCCAACAAGACTATCGACTTTTGATCAATATGGTACCGGCGCGTCTTCGATATTAGAATGAGTGGGGATGTTCCAGTCTTTTTTCTAGTGACCGAATTAAGTTGGGAAGTTTCCCCAAAGTTGCTCTTAACCAGGCATTGGTGCACACCTAGCTCACAGGAAGGAAATGCTGCCTGCTTCAACTGGATGCACGGAGAACAGACCACGAGTATCGGAAGGGATCAAGGAGAGGAGAAGGTCCGATATGTCGTGGAACTGGCCGGGTGTCGTACGATTAGGAAGAGACTTGTTTTGCATCGTGCCGCCTTCCAGAATGGCTTCAAGCAGGGCTGTCTCAAAGGCGTATGGTGACATGTCACACCGAGTAAGGTCCTACCCAAATTCTCGCTGCACTGAATTTCTCGACAGCATAGCAGTCATTCTCACCATGGTGTTGTCGAACTTGTTCAGGCAGACTATGCTTGGACCAAATGGTTCAGTGGTTAGAGCGCGAATCCACTTACCGAAAAGTCCGTGGAGTACTTGGGGCGGTCGAATAGTGTTCTTTACCAGTCGGCGTTTTCCCTCAGTGTTGGTCTTAATAATGCATCTGTTCTACTTTCCAGCTGTGCTGCATTCGTTGATTCTGCCTTCTGTACACATACCAATTTTGTCGAGGAACTCACTCACTATGTAGGTTTTCTGATGTACCGTCTTTATTTCTTTGCTAAGGTCTAAAATATCCTTCAAAATCACCCTAACGTCTGATCCATCTCTCCCCTTCAAAGTGTAAGCTGAATTTACTTAACACATTGGTACTCCATAGGTTGAAAGTCCCAGATACCGCACCATTCACTGCTGTACTTAAGTTTGCAGCCGAGGAAGTAAGTATTTTTGTATCACTGGAGATCCTCGTACAGGTTTTTCTCCACTACACTATCTTTGTTTTCCGGACCAGTTGATCTTTTTCGCACTCTTGTGTAGGCCGTCCTTTACAAGCGAACTAGGTTTTTGTCGAGTTTCGGAGAAACGTCAAATAGTACAGTACATGTTGAACTAAATTCCTGCCTCATCAAAAGTTGACTTTCAGGGATCAGATGCCATAGTGTATAGTGTATTTGAATTCAGATGTTCATAAAATACAGTAGTGGAGTGTGTCCACACTTTTCTTTACCCTTTTCTCTACAGTTTTCTGTCCCCCCTGCCACTAGTGCTATTATTACGGATGATGGGATTGGAATCAATCCACAACAAACTGCGGGTAAGTCAGCCTGTTGCTTTGTAGAAGTCTCTCAAACCCAAAAGAATCGAAAGAATGATATTAGGATCAAGTGTACAGCGCTGCATTATTAGCCACTTCTTGCTCTAAGCATGATTTTCCAAAGTTACTACTTTTCCTCTTGTGCCCAAAACGAATGGTGTAGCATTGACTCGTTGTAATAAAGGTACTGTCCTATATGTGAAACCAGTCTATGCTAGAAAGCCGAGAATCACTGTACAACTTTCATCCTCATTAAGTACCATCAGCGGCGCACATCCCAAGTAACTCTCAAACCCGTGATCTCCCGGCGGTAGTTTGAACTCCTAACCATTTGGCCACAAGGGGCTGATCAGAGATGTGATTGGCTCGAATCTAGACAGAATGTGGTACCGCTCATTTTCACCCACTGAACTCACATCACGGGGTCACGCGTGTTTACTGGCTCCCCGATTGACGAGTTAGGTGGAAGTTCTACTCATCGGTTGAATTTTATTTCTCTGAACTACTTATAGATTGCTAGTGGTGAGATTTGGGAATTTTACTGGAGATTCCACCCCTTAAGTGAAGCCTACCTGCACTGAAAAGCCAAGAACCACAGAGTTTCCGTGATGATCCGGAAGTGATATGGATGGCCACCTAATTCACTAGCGACCTGATTTCTTAGGATGGGAAGGAACCAGACGATACGGGGCCGGATTTACTGCCTTCAGGTCCGGGAATAGGTGTGTGACAGGTAAACTGGCTCGCTTTCGGATCGTCAAGACTTTTCGATGGACAAAGTAGAAAATGTCGAAGTCCATAAAACAGGCCCCAAATACATCTCCGCTCTCTCTGACGTTAGCGGCAGATCGCCTTAGTTTTATATGAATGTTAATAAATACATCCGAAATCCCTAAGCGAGAATCTCTCATTTTCGGTAACACAATTTACATGGGTAGAATGCAAGCTTGGCAAGCTACAGGACGCAAGGCTAGCGGCATTTCTTCACCAGCCATTTACTCACGGGCTTATGATTGTGCTCCCACTTGGATAACGTACTGTAATCAGGCTTGATGTGCTGTTTTTTGCATTATGAAGCGTCCGTCCAAACGAATGTGTTACCAAAAAGACTGGGAATAAAACAAGCTACAGTACTGAGGTAGAGCTTGAAAACTTTACTTTCGGCCCTAAGGTACGGAAAACTCTATCTTCGGCACACTTGGCGGAAGACAGTATAACCGTGAAGAGCCGCGTTACGTATTTCTGTCAGATGACAGCGAGCCGCTGTAAGCATATACCTTAATTTTCGGTACCTTGTGCGAGATCCTTTCTCTGAAAATAATGGATCTTACTGAATACCATCGAAGTATATGAAGTGATTTAGCTCTAAAGCGCATCATCACCATCGACAACCCAACTTCAGGATTCACCACTGATGCTTCAGTGCCGAACATTTATGATTTATTTGAAAGCCTCATTGTGAAGAAAGGATTAAAAGTGGTCAGGGAGGAGACTTATTGCTAGCTTACAACAATCATTCCCGGGCGCCTACATTTCGAGACACTCATTCGGGCAATCCCGGTAAAAAACTGATAACAATAACACCATTGATATCGATTAGCACCCACACAGCGTCTATACCGAGGCGCAGTGAGGATCACGCGGTCTCCATCTTGGACAACGAGTAGCACCGATAATGTCTAAACGCTTCTTTATCTCTTATACCACTCTACTGGGTCAAGATTTTGCCACCTCCCTGCTTCCGCCACTCTGAACTGGGGACGGAAAATAGCTTCTCTTCACCTGTCCCATCCAACGCAGCTTCCTATGCTGGACACGTTCTTCAATGGAAGTTCCCGTTGCACAACCGAAAACTCACTTTCTAAATGCCTCGTTGCAGATTCGCGGACACCAACCTACACGAGTTATGGTTCTGAGACAACGATTGTTGATGATCCGGAAATGTCTTAGTTCCGCTACTCGAACAGGCCACTTCTTACAGCCCGTACTGTATCCTGATTCACACGTCCCTTGAGGTTCAGGGATATGCCGCTCTGACGCCATAGTTGTCTCCAATTAGCAAACGCGACCCGAGCCTTGCAGATTCGTGCATTGACCTCATCTGTCACTCTACAACGCTACATAACGTCGAGGACCTCTGTTTAAATTGTGAGTGGCTTGCTCAGTGCCTACATGTTCAGGAGCTTCACGTTAAATTTTGTGGGTGCAAAGGGCGTAAAAAAGACCTTTGGTGCGTCCTTCCGAAAACAACTGTACCTTCTCTTCTTCGAAGACGATAGCGATGTCGCGCGCACATCCCAGATCCACTCACCGATTCTCCCCACTCGTCTGGGAGAGTCTCCTTTTCCAAAATACAGGTGCGCCGACCAGACATGCGCTGACTGAATACCTTGCCTTATCTTTGGACAATAGGTATTGGAGGTTATTCGAACCAGGAGCTCGGTAGCGCTTGAGAGAACGTATGTAGTCGAGGTTTTAGTGGGTTCCAGGTTCACAGTTCAGGATTCTAATTCAGCTGTAGGATACAAATGAATGGCAGCCGGTGCACACGAGAATTGTTATTGCAAATATTCAGCCCAGTGGTTGAAGCGTTATTCTGTATTCAAGATGGTCGCTCTTGTTTGATACTTGATGGTTTCGCTCATAGGTGGTTTCCGGGGGCTGGTTGTACGGATCAGCTGGAATGGTCTTCAAGCATTTTCGACTTTCTGGGCCTCTTCCATTTCCTTGACCTTTCGTGTCTACCAGGCTTCGCAGTCGGTGCACATGCTCACTTTCACTTGACGTCTGGTAATTCGTCGGGCCAAATTATTTTCGGGCAGGCGGGATATTTCCCCGAGATTTGGACAGTTCCAATGTTCCGTTTGATGTCCAGTGCTTGAGTGGGGTTAGTAGCACCCCACCACTGACAAAACTTCCAACCACTGTGAAAATATGTGGCGTTGTTGTTCCAGCATGGTGGAGCAGTTGAAAGAGACTCTAGAAAGCGATTTCTGACGAATTCTATAGCTTTCGGATCTCCCAGTCTCTCGGCGTCTAAGCAACCTGTCCGTACCCCCTAAACCACAAAGGTACAAGTGACTCTCGACGAGCGCTTGGTCCGAATTCACAGATGTGTTCCGGAACGAACGGTAGTCAGTGATTGATCCGAACCACCGGTAATTGATGGCGATGTGATCAATTTGAGTTAGCAGCTGGCACGCTGTTGGAGGGCACCATGTGGTCGGAGGCTATTTCGCCTATTTCGGAAGCTAGGACTGCATAAAAATAGCCTGAGGTCAGCACATAGCTGAGGCGATCGTTCGCCATTGTCTGTACATTCTGAGTCCAATCCATATGAGTTTCATGCGCTAAGCCTACCCACTTGCGCATTCTGACCTCAAGAAGCTTGTACGCTTGCGCAGCTACTTACCACCCCGCCCCCAAATCATCGGTGAACGAAACTGCGACAGCTGCAACCACTGTACGACGAGTACGCGGTTATTACAGCTGACAATGATGATGACGATGATGATTGTATCTCGTTGCAACAGGGCATTCAGACCGTCATAAAACTTGTCTTTGACCGTTCCAGAGCTACAGTCGGTTGGAACGTAGGTGGACATGATAAACAGACAGCTATCAATCTCCCGCTTATGAGATTTCTTCACAGACGTTGCCAGACGAATCGCACAGAGGCAACTGTCAACGTATATCCACCCAAGCAAGGATCCTCCTGCCCGGTGATTGACGGCGATACCAACCCCAGCCCATCCTGCCGCAGAAGCCTCGGGATCTTCAGAGGTACGCAGCTGGAAGCAAGTGGAGATTGATATGGCAGTTATCTCCAACCACTGTACTTGTATCTTAAATTCTTGTTTCTAATACACAGCACACGTCAATATCAAGCGAACCCACCGTGAGGACAAGAACAGCTTTTCCTGCTTGTTCTGGAGTGTGAACATTGAAAACAAGCAGATGGACTGGGTGCCCGCACTTTAAGATTGATTTTTACCTGTCTTAGGGTGTCAGTACCGGATAACGCACAGATATTGCTTGTAAAACCGATTCAGGAAGAACGGAGTCATCAGTCCTGAGTGCGGGAACTACAAGGAGAGAGTTATTAATGGAATGGGGAGAGAGGGAAGAAAAAGTATGTGGAAGAGAAGGAAGGGAGGCTTCAGCAGTAGCCTGTTTTCGCTTACCCGCCCTGCTGTATGCAGTAATTAAGGCGACTGGGCTGGTGGCACGACGCTATTGCCCATGTGGCATGAGACTATTTTTAGTTTTTTCATGATTGTACTACTACCGAAGTGCCCAGGAAAACGGTTAGATCCCTCAACCAAAGTCTTTGGCCCAAAGGCGCCTCTGCAAGACAGCGGTATTTGGTGAGAAATCCAACTAGGTTGCCGTTTTTATAGAACAGCTTGTCACACGCTCCACCTCCTAACCTGAAGGATAATGGGACTGTTTATCAGACTTCTACCCATTGACCAACGTAATGTCAGACCTTCTCAGCTGAACTGGTTAGATGTACCAACTACCGGCTCAATTTGCCTACAGGCGAATCTGCTCTGCTGATCTGCAACTCCCTTCTCTCGAACAGTTGTCTAACTGAGCGTGTTATTTGGTCACACAAGACTCCCTTTTGACCAAGCGATTTTGAATTTCACTACCTTCGAGATTTTGTGCGTTTATTGCATTCATAATCGCCTGGTATCTCAACCGATCGAGAGTTGAGTGCGATATCTAATGAATTACTGTCCTTTTATCCTCCAGGTGATGTTTTCCTGAAGCATGGTGGTGATCTCCGGCTAATTCCACGAGATCGTGTCGGCCACTGATCTCGGACATTGTGTTGACAACCGGTCAGAATTAGACGGGACCGTTACGTCGGTCGGTCGACGCGCAAAACCTTATGCTGTTTATTGTGTCGAGTGCTTTCTCTGTTCATTGATGCTAATTTCTCCCCTTTATCATTTGTATATGGTGACGAATGTTGCTATTTTTGTCCACCTATATTCTGGAACTTTGATGATGTTTTCATCGTACAGACGTATGTGGTGATACCCTATTTCTTTCGTCTAGTTCACTACTGTCTGGGGCCGTACTCTAGTCAATTCTGCTCTGGTGTGTGATTGGTTTTATTTCCGTATCCAGTGTTACCCAGTACGTTATCACTGCCTGGAATGTTGTTTCAAGCGACCAGCGTATACTTCCTATCAGCCATGAATGTCTCCTTGTTAGTGAAGGCAACTAGAAGGAAGCAGTTAAACATGCCGCATTCCACGTCCTCTGTCGTGTGCTACATGTCGTGGTTGGTTCACTGCAGTGGGTTGAATATGCTTGTTCGTTGAAAACACCAGACGCCGGCTTTCTTTCGGACAGATGAATAAATCACAGTAGCTGCAAATCTCCTTCTTGGTGGTGACTAACGAAATTGAGTTTTTTAGCAGAAGATTACGTTGAGAAAATGGTCCTAGTGCACACAGCATAAATAACGAATAATCATGGCTCGTGGGAAAGCCGAGTTCAAAAGTGGAGGCAGCTATTAGTGGCATCCAAAATGGGTTTCATTTTCCCCGAGAGAAACTACTCACAAGGTTGCTGAAAACTCTTCAGTAGCCCACGAACGGTTTCGCCCTTTTTAGGGCTCATCAGGTAGACGCAGTCGAGAAATACATGATTTGCAAATCAATTTGGTTTTCACGAGAGACTCAACTGAATCTCTCGTTTGTGATATTCTGCAACTGAATATGCTGCACACAGGCCGCCTCACGATTCAGTTGGCACGATATTCGAGATATCGCAGTATATTTTCATAAAGGAAACTACTCACAAGATTGCTGAAAACTCTTCGCCAGCCCACGACCGGTTTTGTCCTTCTTGAGGCTCATCAGGTAGGCTTTATCCCCGAGTTTTCGTCAACCTTATGTTCTAGTTGAATCGAAATTTCACGAACTATACTCATTTGCACACCAATTTGACTTGTCTCACTGTATTTTCGTACCTAAGGATACCATGTCCAAAGCGAGTCAGTTAGTGTGATACGGTTGCGGTGATGATTTCGACTTCCTAGTGTTTTACTGCTGTTCCGCCTAGTTTATTTTCGCACCTGCAGACATGTGTTAAACAGACAGTTAAACTCGGTCGTTGGCTTACTCGCTGAGCTGGGCAATTTGGTTGCAAACGTTTCACCACCAATCGAGGTGCGTTATTGGGGTGCGTAGCGGTGGGTTAGTGGTTGTGCGTAAATTATCTATTCTTTATAAATTCACATGACTAACGCTCCGGGTGACTACTGGATGAATTCTCAAAATCGGGTAACTTCTGTGTGACGAGTGCTTCAAGGTTGGCGGCTGGTGCTTTTTCCCCATTCCTACAACCCTATGGTAAGTCCGATAGACTCAAGTACTAGATGAAAACTGAAACTTCCCGTCCCCATATGAAGTGAACTGATCGAATTTGATCCTATGGTCCAAACACTTTGGATGATATACGACTGTGCGGGGACCATTCCACTCTAACGTGATGCGAAAGTTACGAGAATAATGCCAACCACTTGCTGGCTCGCAACCAGATAAGCCCACCATCCACTTGAAGCCTTTAGGTGCAACATGATAAGATTAAAGCAACACAAGCCCCAGTGTTTGCCAAACATCCTGCGTTCGTAAAATTCTGTCACGACAGAACTCACCTCGTTTGGCTAAATGGCTCTCCTTTGGGAGCCATGTCAAAACTAGGTAAGGACCAACCCATCCTTGGAGGCGTTTGCTCGATTTTTCGTCCCCCTCGGTTAGTGCAAGCAGGTAGACCTTGCCACATGGGTCTCTACCCTTTTTTCATCCTTTAGCTCATACTGCGAGGACCCTTGCTTTTACCCCTTTGCTTCAACAGTGTTTGGTTTAGTACGGTTTTCTAAGCATAAACAAGAGTTAACACTCGACATTGGTTCACGTCAACTTTCGAATTAATCTCCTGGAATCCGGGTCACTACAGAACAATAAATCGACTTCTTGTTATCGTACTACCGAGGTTACCATAACGTCCCCGGTTCTCGTCAATTGTCTGATTCGTTGACAGTCAGAATGCGTCTACCGCGAGCCACTTACCCACACTCGGTGGTCCACAACGAAAAATCGTTGTGGTCGAGGGGTCTACAATCCTCCAGCGGGTTCGTTATCCCGTTTATTTACCGTGTGATGCAATACCCTATTGATTGGGGCCCTGATCCATTTGACGGCGGACGTGGATGCGAGATATTTCAGCTTCTGTTCCGCTAGACTGAATCTTAAGCGTTCCTGGTACGAATGTTTGGTGTTTTTAGTCGTCCCACACTGGAAAAATCACTCCCGAGATCCTCAGTCACTATATTCGTATATAGGTGTTCCATTTAGTAGCTGGAACTAAACTGTTCAGGGAAGTGCCATACGGCTGTTTCATTCTTGTTGATAATTGTCAGCAGCGTGTATCTGAAAATTCCATGGCGATATGAACTTGCACCCCCTCTCATCCAGCTGCGGACAATTGGTTAGCCGTGTGATTAACTCGCGCCTAGGTCGGAGGTAGTGCTTCTCATGCTTCAGCCACATAATTCAAATCATGTGGTCGCGTGTTGATCAGCCCTTCAAGTGACGACTTCGGTGAAAGTCCACTCATGTGAATACTTTTTGATCTAGTTGTAATTTGTCGATAGTATGGAGACAGTAGGGTTTTTTAATGGAAATTCCGTTGTGTAAGGATGAGCCAGTCAGCTTACTGGTCGGTGGCTCGTTGGCGAACAGTTTGGCCTTGAACTACTACCCATGAGGTTGCTGGTTTGAATCTTCCTGGAGACTCATTAGGTGGTTCCCAATAAGACTGAAACAGGTATGGAGCACCTCTTGGCTTTTCGACAGATTGAAGTGACTTGCAGTACGAATGCTGGATTGAGGAAGTCCAAAATTCTCACAGCGAAAGTTCTGCATGGCTGAGTTTTGGCTAACATCAACTCATATGAGTGTCGACGACAAACCGCGTTTGTTCTAGCAGTTACTCGGGTAGAAATTCCAGTGTAACAAATATTTTGATTCAGTTTGAACCCAAATCTCCAAAAATGGCAAGACAGTTCAGTATTTGGAATCCGACCTAGAGTAGCAGGTTCCGATGAAGTAAACCACATATCAGAAGATTGATATGCTGATTCTATGATCCATCTTCATAAAGCGAAAACGAGGTCAGGGCTTTAAGCATGACTCAATGACCAAGACGTCATTCATTCAGACTCACCTTTGTACTTCTAATCTTATGTCGTACATGCATGGACGATTTGTAAGTACCTCAGACCCTTTGCTTGCTTAAGGTTCCACGAGGTCCATGCGCAAAAGCAGTGCTGCGGTTGAACTTCGTGGTAAACCATAGGAAATCCTACGGAACTCCGCGAATTGACGCTCCGAAATCTGTGGGAATGGCTTGTTTTGTCATGTTTAATTGGCCTACTGAACCATTCTGGAGAACATCTACCATCTGCAGTCACTTGGCGGCTTAAACCAGAGAACTTACTCTCTTGGAGCTACTTGTTCCCTGGTAGCTAGTCCTTCCTGGTAATTTTACGTCACCATTGCTGTCTTGCGCTTGGGAATTCGCTCCAAACCTTTTGTCTGGTGTCTTAAATCGTCCTGTCTGGAATTCGGTCCCCCGATATCAAACTACGACACAACTATGCAACATCATTCATTACGTGATGGCATCAGGCTGGGTGCTTACAGTGTGCACTGTGCCATCGTTGTGTATTTGTACCTCCTACGACGTATCCCAGGTAGCCAAGTGACCATCACCCTATATGACATCTGAGCTGTAGTGACTGTCGTTACCATATTGATCACTACAGTCGAATGATGGGCTAGAGAATTATGGCATCAATTGTGACAGCAACACAAACGTTCAGCATTGGGGCTTTGCTGCCACCCAACCACCTCAGCTTACTAAAACAAATCTTTGAGGTGAAAGTTAGATGAAGTGGCGTCTAGTTCTCGTCCACTGAAAAATGAGGTGGCTACGTCTCAAGCTGTCACTTGGACAATCTAGACGGAAACCCTGGAAGGCTGCATGAGAAACATCGGCATGATTTCACAGCTTGATGTTTCTGCGTCCTCACTCAAGCATATAGAGGCTCGCGTTGATCTCATCCTGAGTGAAAGATCGCATCGGTAGCATCGGATCACTTCGTACTGCCCTTCATCCCTTTGTACCAAGTTCAAATTTTTGGGTTTTTATCATTATGAATGCAGCAAGGAGAAACATCAAGTCACCCCAGGAATGAATCTCCTGAGTGGAGAAGACATCAATTTAAATTGCGTGGTACGTATGAGAGTGGTATAAAAGAAATGCCTTTCGTGACGGATGGTTAACGAGCGAATCAATCCCTAGGATGACCTGTACTAGCTCCGGATCCACTAATAGACGAACAGAATAAAGAGACAGTACTATTTCACCGGGCTGATGTACAGCTGGATAGTAGCTTCAATCATGAAGTTATACGTGATGTTGAAATGGTCTCGGAACTCTTGTCGCACAAGTGATGAGTGAAATGCTTTTACATTACGTATCACATGCATTCTAATAGCAGCAAGTGATAAAGCAAAATGGTATGTCTCTGTCAAGCCCACATCACTGAAGTAAGATCTTAAATTATCTAACAAGCAGAATATAGTAATTTGCCTTAAAATATGAGAGAAATTTAGTTGCAATGTAGCTGGGAGAAGGCCGACGATGGTGGAAAAGTTAAAATAAGATTGGGGGATGTTTGAGTTTCTCATAGTAGAAATTGAGCTTTCCTACTTCAAGGAACATGGATTTAACTTGCTCCGTCCGGTTGGATTGTACCGACGCGGTGTTTGATCGTTTTTTGGGAGCGATGGCGCTGGTTGCTAAAAAGGGAACTAAACTTTGTCATGCATTTTTATCGGCGCGCTGACAGATTTTGGTATGACCAGTCGATGGGGTGACCATTTCTTAAGTTGTTTTGAACTGTTTCGAATTCAATAGATCAGAAGTCAAACAACTGAGTAGAAATTTGTATTCGGCCGATGCTTTACCCACCGATTACATTTTCTAGCCTTTGTCGCTGAGACTGTCGGAACCCCCCGAACAAACTTGCAAATGTGATTATATAGTCCAGAAAGCAAACTGACAATTTCTCCTTTCGTTAAATATCGAGACAATTCTGTGAACAAAGAAAGCTGCAAAATTAAGCGTGAATTGGATTTGTTGTATGCGAGTCGCAATTCGCTTTGTATGTTGGAACCGCCACAGATTTCCTCGAACTTATCTTTCCAAAGAAATTGAACAATATCGTGACTGGTCTGAACCTGGCAGAACTTTGAGTTTGGTTGTAAAGAAACTGACTCCAAACAGAGGAATATTTTTCAGATGCAAGTACACTGTGAATAGTTCGGTCAGTAGGGGGAAATGATCCTTCAGAACCTCCTTTAGCATAATGGGAGCTAGAAAATTAGGACCGTATGCCCTACTAACCCTCGTTCTCCGCAAGTGCTTACACATTTAATCAACCAAAAGGGTCTCGGTCTGAAGTTGGAAAATGGTGAGCATCATCGCCAAGCAGCATTTTATCGAAGGGAATTTTCGAGGGCCTTCAGGTGAACTCAGCTGAAAGTCAACGAATGGAAAGAGCACATGATATTCAGGAGCTTGTGGAGCGCCGCATGTTTCACATGCCAAGGGGAAAGGTGTCCTGAATTGCGCTGAGTTTAGTCAGCTTAACGGTCCTACAGTTCCACCAATGAGAAAAAATATATCACTGACGAGAGGAAAGGTAGGACTAATTAAGCCATCCCTGCATCCCTGTAAGAAACGCGCTTTTATGGGCAGAATGTCGCCTTCATCCTGCGGTTGGGAAACGTGACTTGTTACTCCGGCAGCATTCGAAATGCTCCATTTGTGTCGTGCTACTCATGAGTAGGTTGAATTTTTGTTCATCTCGCGTTTGAACAGTTGCCCCCTGTCCTGGCGTAATTATTCTGGTGAGTCCATACATACGGGGGGAACACTGAGGATGAACGATAAATATACCGCAAACCCCCTGAAACTGAATTTGGACAGAAAATTTGGGTGGGGATAGCCACGATGGACACGCAGTTTTCAGCAATAAGAGCAACATCAGAAGTGCTGGTTAGGTTGCTGATGCAAGCAAATAGCTTAACTAGCTTCGGAATCCTTCGCATGCAAGAGAGCTTGCTCGCTGTCGCCTTTGTTCAAGTCAACAATCGATTTTCGATGCAAAGTGAGTTCATATGCAGGTGGTCCCCTCCAGCTGGCGGATAACAGCTGAATGCTAAGATGTTATTGTAAAGTAATCTATTACGAATGGATCCCAAAACCCTAAAACGCGTATTTTTAATGTAGCATTACGTTTGTTGGATTAGATGTGGCTCAACAGGATGTGCTGGTTAGGTGGATTATTGGACGAGGATAAACAGTGCAGGATGTTTAACATCCCCGAGCATAATAAATTTCGCAGAATTCCAGGTGCTGATTATTTCTTCTCTATAAATGATTATTGCTTGACCTGTCGCAGAGTGCATTTGTGAATAATATCAATCAATGTTAACCCTGTTCATCTAGGTTTTTTATTGGATGGGGGGAAGATTTGGTGGAAGAGTAAAGAAGGCAAAAACGCATCAGTCGTCGAACGATTTCGTCGTCATCATCATCACTGGCGACAACACCAGAGGAGAAAACTGGTGTATCGCTGCCGTATAACCATGTCAATTATTTCACTAAGATGAGATCAAAGAATGGGACAGATAGGGGGACCTAGGTCTAACCCACGTCGAATATCATTTACCACTCAGTCAGACGATCTGTATAGAAACTGACGGCACGAACGCCTCTGACATCGGTTAGCTAATCCATCTGTGTTTGAAGATTTGAATAAGCTGCCATCTTGGTGCGATTTTGATTGCAGAAGGGGTTGCTGGCTACTTCGATTAAGATGGGGAGGATGGTGAAGACACAAATGTTTTGAAATGGTATAAGTTCTGGGGTCTATTCTTCCGTTCTACCCGAAAACCGAACTCGATTTCATCACGATGCGTCCCTTCTGACACGTCTGTCTAGTGGAAGCGTCACCACCGATAAATGAAGAAGAAAATGATCGTCACAGTATTTCCGTTGGATTCATGCTCATATTCAACGCAGAGTGAGTTGTCAGTAGACGTAAAAAAGATAAACAATACGACTAAATTTTTGAATATATCCAATCACTAAATCCACACCCTCTTGTCTTTTCCGGTCGGGGATAGGATGAAAGAAAGTTTCCGGTGTGAACGAACTTTTGTTTTCGATAAAACGTATACTTCTGGACGTGTGGCTCTGGGAACTGAATGAACAAGCTCATGACAGACAAGTAAAACGGAGTTTTTTCGTGAACAAACACTGACCAATCCAGTACTGTTACGATGTGGTCCATAACGCATTCTATAGAAGATGATTAAGTACGGTTTACGGTGTCCGCTAAAATGTGTTGTTTGTTATGCATTTTGAAAGTGGTCAGAAATCTAGTTAACTGTTGATGATGACTAAGATGTCAGGATGACTAAGATAATGTCGTTTTTGGTTTGGACGATGACTTTTGGTTTGGTTACAAACGCCTCATCAACAAATATTACAGGGGACGGCTATTGACGTCAACTCATTCGGTACTGAGACGATCGCAATCAAATTTTCCAGCTTGATAAACAAACCAACAGGTGATTCTGCAGCAATCAGCTTCAACTGGCAATTTTTTGCGAAGTAAAATACTTCCTCAGACCTTCACAGCTTTTTTGAATATTTTACGCTGTTGGGTTAGGCTTCTATTCGCAAGGCGAGGCCGGATCTTCGTACTTGTGATGACTTCCAGTCAAGACAATTACTGTGAAGGAAGTGGTTATCAAACTTCAGGAGGCTGTACAGGGAGAGGGGGAAAATAATTAGTCTGGAACGACTGCTCAAAACCCCCAAAAAAGCCAACAAGCCGACTTCGCCGTGTTTGGAGCTCACCAGTTAGACACATTCCCTGAGAGATGAAGTGAGAATTTATGAACTGAATAACAGTGGTTGATTAGTCAAATGCGTTTGCAGTAGCGGAACCTTAAAGATTGGTTTACGATGATAGTTGTGGGGGTGGTAACTGGCGTCCTGAGAGCCAATTTGATGAAGTATATTGAACAAGGAACAGTCCTGGATGGGGAACAATCTACCTGGAATCTAAATCTTACCGGACCAGATTAAATTCATCCGAATTGGAGAAGATGGCCTTTCTTGAAAAGATTACAACAATTCTTTTGACTTTGTCCTAACACAAGCAATGCACAATGCGGTCTTAAATTAGCGGGAATATGCCTACCAGATACTAATATTAGGTGTTTCTTCCCAACTTAATTCATGACCGAGGCTAATACTCATTGATCTCAAGTTATGTAGCCGAGGGAAAAGCTTATTCAGAAATTCGCCTAATTCGTTTTTCTTTGCGTCCCAAGTTGAGCAACAACGTCTCCTATATGTAAGCGTCCTTTTTTAGTATGTAACTAAAGTGTATCTCTTCTTATCTCATCTTGTGCCTTTCGGCAGTGGCAACGACGTTTGCCTAGCTTGCCAAATTTTTCATCCCCCAAGGGACCGAGTCTAATTATCTTTTGGCTTTTTCTGATCGGAAACTTTTGGCATGAGTTTCACTCAAACGAAGAAACGTTAACGTGGCCTCAAGTTGAACAGTTTGCTGGAGAGAATAGAGGAAGAATCCGCAACTAAAAATCAAAAGTTTCTCAATGATTTCAGACAACTTCGCGTTGTAAATTTAAGACCACTAATTTTTATGGGATATCTCATTAGGCGCCTAAAGTGTCCCGGGACAAATCTGAGAATGACTGGACATAAGTTAAGCAGTCCGGAGGGAATAGTTCTCCTGTGACATGAAATCCTAAACGCTGCAAAACCAATCATAATATGTCAGCTGTGCGTTCAGTCCTCTAAAATTCCCCGTTGAATAACAGGAATTCATGTATCAAACAAAGGTATGGTTCCCAAAAATGGATAGTGGAACGGATGATATAAATGCAAGATTTAAAAATGTTCTAGCTAAGACAATCAAAATTCCTACGTTTTAATTCGACTTTGAACAAATTTTATGCAAATACATTCATTTGCATATTGACTGGGTTTTCGGGGGGAGACTCAACTGAATCTCTCGTTTACGATATTCTTCAACCGGATGTGCTGTAAAAATGGCCGTCTCATATTTCTACTTGGTACGATATTCGACACATTGCAGTATGTTTTTGCGAAGGAAACTACTCACAAGCTTGCTGATAAGTATTGGGCAGCCCACGACCAGTTTCGTCCTTTATGTAGCTCATGAAGTGGGCGCAGTCCCAGAATTTCCGTCAGCCTTATGACCTACTTGAGTCCAAACACGAGGCGGCATTTTTCCACTACATTTCGTTGAAGAATATCATAAACAAGAGAATACGTTGAAACCAAATTGGCTTGCAAATGAGTCCAATTTTGGTTTAAGTGGAACCTAAGATGATCGGAAACTCGGGGACTGCAACTAAGTGATGAGCTCCAAGCAGGGCGAAACCGATCGTGGGCTGTCGAAGAGTTTTCCGCAACCTTGCGAGTAGTTTCCTTTATGAAAATTTCATGCCTCTGTTACAGTCTAATTGTACTGATGGTAGAATCAAACCACGAGGATATTTCGGTACCTAAAGACTCTAATCATCGCCTCATGGCTGGCTCCGAAATAATTCAATAGGTGACGGCTTTGATTAGACTAAAAGTCAGGATTCACAAATGGAGTGCAAGTGCCTCTGCTACAGATAACGGCTAGACTCTGACAATTTGTGATCGATCGATTGACGCTCCTCAGATGATGCAAGTCCCAATCAGCATCTATTATGTGAATGCCATTGTAAAATCTGCGGACAAAACTTATGCGTTCTTTCCCTTAATCTATCGACTGCCGGTCGATCGATTTTACTCTGATAATCTGGCTGTTATCTGTAGCTCAGACATTTGCAACCTGCACTCAAAAGCAATTTGCGTGAACTTCTAACCTTTGCTGGCTTAAGTTCAGCCTCAGCTGTCTCTGACAAAGACCTAACTCTCTTGATACACCGAACGTGTGATGTTCTGTTTTTTCCCTCTAGATGCTGTATTCGAGACTGCTGCTATACGTCATATAAATTGCGGCGTACTATTCGGACGATCGGTTGCAGAAAACAGATTTTCCTGCTGCAGTTCGTCTTTGAACGTGTGCTGCGGGAATATTCAAGGATTGGGAATAGCCTAAAATACCTTCTGTTTTGCTAAGCTCAAATACGAGTGTTGAGATCCGACCGTGAATTAATCCCCAAGAAAAGTTCAAAAATATTTTTGAATAAACTTCAAGAGTGAGAATCCCGCGATTTTTAACGACGGAAAGATAGCGAAAAAATTGGGAATCGATCAAAATACCAGATGCTCCCGCCCCCAAAAATGTACGTACAATAGATATAATAACTACCATAAGATACCACAATCAATCCAGTAGATAAACTTAATCACTGAATATATTACTTTCATCGAGATACTCAAATGCATCTTCTACTTTATTCAACGAAATGTGCTGCAAAAAGGCTGCCTCATATTTCAGTTGATATGATGTTGGAGATTTCGTAGTATATGTACTTGAGAAAGCCCACTACTCTTAAGGGTGCTGGGAACTCTTCGACAGTCGACAGCCGGTTCCGCCCTTCTTCGGGTTCGCCAGCTAGGCGAGTTTCCTTCCAATCGAACGTATGTTCTACCTGAACTCATATCGTACGCGATTCGCGAAATTCCCTCACTTCCCATGGGGGATACTCAGCTCAGTCCAAGTTGAAACCATATTCTTCAAATAAACGTACTGCGCAGATGTCTTCTGTTTCATTTGGTATAAAATACGTCATATCGGTACGTATTCTGTTGACAGAAAATACTTTTCAACTTCACAGAGTAGGTTTCATTCAGCATAGTGTTCCGTCAATGCCTTCACATTTTGAGCAACCCCGACCGAGAGGTACTAGGTTTTGGCAGCGTCGATTTGAATGGTTCTCGGTGTTTGTTGATTTCCGCATAAAACTTTGTCCTACAGCATCATCTTTCCCAAGCCAGATGTTTAACTGTAATGACAAATGGTGTGATTTGGTCAGTAACAATCGACCTTGCTTTGAATGATTTTCTTGTTAGCGAACCTCTCCCATGCCATTAATAAGAGTGGGTATACACACAGAACGAGGTTTTATCTAGCCACAATAAGTGAGATGATAACCAGTTGTTTTGGACCTCTCAAAAACTCATCATTCCCGCTACTTGTTACTGTATTTACAGTTGCAGTTAGCTATTGTTTCACATGATACCACGGGCAGCCATAGAGAGCTCGATCACTATCGACAAACAAAAACAAGGAAGTGTACACACAGATGTTGTGCCAAAGCTGTTTAAAGCAAATAGCACTGTGAATGATTGTTTTCGACCTGTTTGGCCAAATGATCAACAACGGTGAGACGAAGTGTAAGAAGGAGAAATAGTTGACTATCCTTGTTACGTCAGAAGCTTCAGACACCAGCCTGACAACGGTTCTTTAAGGTACGTCTATGAGGAAGCTGTCTTGAAGGACGAGAACCACAATTACAGGTATGATTCTTTGGAGTGCGATCCAATCAGCAGCCATCGGTAATTGTGTTGGGAGGCTTCGATACTCTTTCAAGCTGTGGTTCTGTAGAACAAATCCCACGGATGAGCAACGAAAAATCCGCTGTTCGTGAGTGCGATTATATAGGTACCCTTTGTTGAATTTGAATTACTATTAAAAAATGCACAATCAAAATGCTGGCTTTAAATACTTGTTGGCATTAGATTGAAAAAGCGTTTTTATTCTTGGAATTGTAGCTTCTCCTTTTGTATGCGGACAATATCAAGTAAATTGGTTCTGGTGGTTAGCAGCGAGGCACGCCATCCCAACAGTCAATGCACTTCTATAATACTAACTTGGTGTGCGCTTACTGTATACAGATTAATTACAAAGCGGTAGTGTCTTCCTTGCCCGTTGCAGTGTTTTTGGTTTGCACCTACCTCTTATGTTTTCATCCAGGGCATCGTATGGTGGACTTTAGTTTTGGACTTGCATGATTAGTATTTCTCTTTGCTATCCTGCCTTCTGCGGTAAAAAATGTAAACCAGCTGTGGTGGGGAGTCTTGAATCTACTTCCAGTTATTCCGGTGATTCCTGTAATTGCTCATTTACGAATTTTCAGCTGTTTTTTTCGAAATGGAGACATTAGGCCTGAGCTGAGCTTATTCGAATTGATGTCGTTGACCCCAGGAACACGCACAGTTAGGATTCATTGTGCAGGTTTAGCAGATTACTTGGGAGTAGTCCCATCGGATTTGAACCATAAATGGAAGTTCTGGAACATAGGGTCATCTCAGTTACGCGTGATTCTACGTCCCCGTAAGGAACTCGGTGCAGGCAGTGAAGAAGATAACTCTCTGTGATAGACTATTTGGCTCGTATTTTTCAACCCAACTTAAAGCCGTACAGATATTAGCTTTAATTCATCAATTCTATTCAGTCAATGAGAATAAAAACATTATTTTGGCGGTCTGAATGTTGTTCCATAGGTTGAATCTCACCGTGTACAAAGTGAACGAGCCCACGAGGTGGAAGGAACTATCACCGCTCCGTTGATGTTAGCTTGATGAAAATTCTATCAAAATGCTTGTTCAAAACCCGAATTTTTGCATATCTGATGTGTCCTTACAATCATACCCGTCACAAGGAGACCGATGATTACAGAACTTCAAAAGTGGTGGACGCAAAGTTTAAAGTGTCAAAGGGTTTCATCTAACCAGTAAATCAGATGTAATTTTGAGCTTCGGCGAAACCGCTCCCTGTCGAAGAGCAAGGTCGTCAGGAACTATGTAATGAGCAATTCTTATGAGTTCGTCTTCTATGGAGTGACTCTATTTAGATCTCGTTCAAATGACTGACCAGAAATTGTAAGATTGGGTTACCTGGTTCCACAAACAGTGTTACAGTTGTTAGTGATGTTAGTGTCTCTGTAGACAAACTCACACAGTTCAGACCATTGTGATACTTGCGCATTGAAATTACTGTCAGCTGCGCCCATAAGATTTCAAGGTCGGTGAGCCTTTAAGCCCACTGTGGAATTTCTATTAATCTTCAGTGATTTGGGACATTATGTATGAAACAAGTGAGTAGCTGTCAGCTTATGCTTCTTTGTTGTCTGTCAGTAGTATATGGACGCACGATAGGATAGGGTTCGAACCTAGTAATATTTTTGCACACTGACAATCTGAAATATTGTTGCTACTTCACACTCATTAAGGTAATTGAGACAGTTTGAAAAACGCTTCCCAAAACATACGAATGCAGAGCCTTGAAAAGAAAAGCCTAATGATGCCCACTTAAACCGAATATGGGTGATATTTTTACCCATTTTTGTCTAAAACGCAACTCTGAAATAAGTGGGCTTGTTTTCAATGCACGGCTTTATTGTGCTTCCGTACTGACTACGTGATCAGATTGCCAACCACTTGAGAGAAAACACTTGAGAATTTGAGGGGTTGTTGAAAACGAATACTAATCGTTTTGTAGTCACAACAAGGAAGGACGTGAGGATGAAATCTAATAGGGACGTATGGATTGAAAAATAAGACCAACTTCGCCGAAAGCAAAATACTTCGGAACAAATGGTGTGGAAATTTTGTGACGTTTTGTTTGGAACATAATCGGGAACATCTCTCAAGTGACAGTCGGTCCAAGTCACAGCAACCTGTACAAGCGTTGAGGCAAAAATAAGGTGGTAAAGAGAGCTCGGCCTTTTGTGCTGGCTGCGCGAAAAAGGTTGATTCTTTGTAAACGAAACTCAAAGTCAAACTTACCCAGATTGCTTGTGGGTCCAATTTTGGAATCATGCTTTTCTAGTATCATTCCAGGATATTAATTTCGTAATCAAGGAGAGATCTTTGGTCTCAAAAAGCCGTGGGTAACTCAGGCATTGGCAGATTACAATGATCTACAAGTTCGTCGAAGATAATCACCAACATACATTTTTCGTTCACAGTTGAAGCTGAAACAGTATTTTTCATCGTTTTGTTATATCAACTCCCACTTCAATGACTTTCGTTGGATTCGAATTACAGGCTCACTCGCTGTTACTGGTCAAGCGGTATGGTAATTTCATATTCTAAGTAGCGACGGAATTTCCTGTTGAAAGGGAGAGCGCTCTTTGCTGAAATTCCTAGAAACATTATACGGCTAGTTCAACCCTGCTGAATATCGGTAACTGCTCCAATAAATCACTCGGAAGGTTCGGAAGCAACATCCTGGTCGCCAGCTGAATTCTTACTTATCCCGTAGGAAGGGTTGAACAGAAGTGTAACTCAACCGCAAACACGATGTAGCGCCACTGTACTTTGATCATGCGGTTCATGCCACGTATTCCAGTATTAAATGACCAATCAAATACTCGCTTTGAAGCCGGTAAACTCTCGAGAAATTGCGACACTCTTGCATTTTCGGAATGTGTCACTGCCAGACGCTCAGGCTCCAATCTTAAGCTTTTATTTTACAATAAGTCCTCATTGACTGGGCAAAATTTGCAGTTGTCCAGTTCCATTCCTTTGGCTTATTAAAGAGCCTGGTGAGCAATTTGTTCGACCACCCCGGATGTATTTACACCCCTGACTGTTTTCAGGAATAACAATCCCTAAAAATGATGGTGATTCCTAAAGCCTACTCAGAAATATTTGTTAATGTCCACAGCATGCCTCGGCAGAATTGGGAGCCTCACTAGTCAGCAAAAACGGGAGAAGCCTTTATCATACTATAGCTTAAGGTAGATCACCTATCCACAGGCATACATCCAAAACTACGTGCTATAACCTTCTAATGCGCCCACACGCTCAACTATTCCTGTCCTCATTAGGGAGATGAATGAATCTCTACATATTTCACCGAAACTCCCTGGCTTACATGCTGTGCGCTGATTCGCATATTTCTGCACTGAAATATAGATTCGCAGAACAGATAAGAGCTTTTATGAATGCGTCTCATGACAGTTGCCTGGTTGTCCGAGGCAGGTGACCAATGGATCGAGACCCGAGAACCTGCCTCATTGATTTCCAAACAGACACTATCCACTAACCTAAGTGGAGCTTTCAGAATTTTATCGCGCACTATTGATTTGAAATTGCTAGCTTTCAGTGAGACCATGCTGACCATCCAAATCCGACCCAGTTTGTATGCACAAAAGACCCCGATACAAGCCTTGGAATTAGTAACCGAACATGGTTGGACCACCAAACGCTTTGTTTCGTTCCGCTGTCCTAATGCTATTCATTCCTATTGGTAATGTCTTCGTGCTGTGATTTTCAGTGGTAGAACTGAAAAGATAAACTCACTGTCGGCATACCGCAGTCTTAGTGTTTATACTATATTATTCAAATGGACTAAAGGGGACCGACTGTTTCACACTTGGGTATTCAGTCATTCGACCACTACGATGAAATTAGTGATAATTCCACAAGTAGCTTTTCGAACAAAAGAACTATCAACATTTTTTTGTTTGAAGGGAGAAGTGGGAGGATCGCAGACTAACTTTTTCGTTCCTGCTCTTGCTCATGATTACCCAGGTGTTAAGTTACAAGCCCGACTTCGCGCAGCCTAACTTTCTGGTAGATCTCGCTGTATGTGTGGTTTTAGATTTCTTTGAACTGCAAGGTATTCATGGTTGAAAGAAGACCATAGCCAAGCAAACCCGTATTTTTGACTGGCACATCTTTAGAAGTTATTGGGCTACCCTGGACGTAGAAAGCAATGTATTGTTCATGCTGACTATATCCAATGATAGCGCGTATGCTTCATTACGTATGTAGGAATTTCGAGTACATTGTTTCATCGATAACTTACGTGTCTGGTCAGCGACCTTCCCCAGTTTCCCACTCAATCTGGTACACATCTGACTACTTAACCAAGCATATTCTCCATAACCCATCTTGATATGTGATCATTTGTTGGTTGGTTACAGGCTGTGCATCAACCGTGCATTTTTGTTCCGTGGGGAACTGGAAGTATCACGACAAACTTTGTGATGATAGTATTAGGATATGATCTTTTTGGAATAACTGCTGCCCGGACAATTATTTCCCAAAAAATCTGTCCCACTACCAAACAAATTCTCCTCCATTGTGAAATGATGCATGCGTTTGAGAAAAAATCTGGACATATATTTGGATGCATAATTTGATAAATCGTAATGGAACAGAATACCGTACGATATGGTGCACTCACACAATTGTTCGAAGTAGGACATGATGGATAACAATGGAACAGGGCAAGGTAAAACAGAATATTAGTAGTGATAGTAGAATAAAATAGCGTAAAACGGAATAGACCTGAATGGTATAGAAAGGAGTGGATTTGATCAGCACAGAGGGAATTAAAGTAGAGCTGAGCAGAACGAACCAGAATGAAAGAGAAGGGAATACTGTGGAACAGACTGCCATCGTCCTGCAAATTTCATGCTTAAACCCAGCAATTTGCAGTTTAGTTTAGAGTTTCTTGAGAAGTCCGTTCAACTAAAAAACACATCGCGGAATGTGTACATATATGTGCATCACAAACTGACCCTTTTAGTCAAATTAGGTAGGGAATCCAAGACTATTTTCCTAATATTGGTGGGATCATATATTGACAGCTTACTACAAAAAGGATGAATCCTCGCAGCCTGGGATTTTCTTAGACAGGTCCTTAATTTTCCGAAATTTCAGTTTAATATATCCTCCAAGTAGTATTTGATGGCTGAAGTCAGGATTGACTATTGCTAATGGCCGAAAAGTTTGTTCGCTCTTGTGGTTTTGTTGTAATGTCTCATCGCTGGGCAAAATGACATCAAGACACGTTGTAGCCGTTGGCCTGAGTGTCATATTACTTCTTGGGTAATTCAGACTAATGACTGGATGTCCTCAATATAACAGAAGGCAAAGACGTCAAATTTGTATGTGAGGCAGTTGAAATAACAAAGACCAAGCGAAATTATCCGAGCACTGGTGTGAAAGAAGATTGGAGTCACGGATCAATTACTGGAGATAAAAAATGATGGCAAAGGGCAGCGCGATTGGATGCAGTTTCCTATAAACAAAATACAGTAATTCATATACAACAAATTACTATTTTATCAAACCGGTTTTGTTGAAAGCTGCTGCGCAACTCCAGAAATAGTTCAACAGTCTCCTCCTAGAGGAGTAGTTCTGCATTCAGCTTAAAATTCTAGAAACGCCTATAATGGCAACAGCTCTTCGGTAGTTATAGATGGAGGGCACGTGTTGAACCACTAGCAATGACTCAACCACTCAGAACCTGTCTTAAATCCCAGGCCTCAGTCGTAGTGTTTGTAGGGGAAAATGCTGCAATAACGTTGAGTTAGACTTCAAAACTCGGCCCTATGAAAACAAGCTGAGCATCATTCACTGCATGATAGTTGATTCTCGTAGAAAGCTCATGCATCAAGTGCTGGTCGTAGTATAGAGCGATCCAACTCCTAGCATTTAAAACACGATGGTATTGGACGTGTCTCTCCTATTCCTATCACATGAACCGTCATGATGGAGGGGGGAATGGTCGGGCTTCTAGAGTTTTGTTTACCAAATGACATCCTCTTTAGATTGTGTTTGCAGTTGCAGGACTAATTTTTTTGAGACAAATAGAATGTTCTTGGAACCCAAAAAATAAATAGACGCCATATTACATCTTAATTCTAGTATCCTTTGCTTTAACAGCACCCTCATCTTTTGACATCTGTTTGCTGGTGCTTGCTTGGTTACACGTATTTTCCCACGTTATATGGTTAACCACTTGGTATCCATCATCTGGTGCCTAGATAAATTTTGTTCTGTCCTAGACACTGTCTTGACATTAAGTATATGCTAGAGGTGGTATTGATCAGTCTGATTTCACCACTACACCATATCCGTTGTAGCTTTGGATAAGAGCTGTTATTAAGTCTTACCGCCCTGGAAGTTGCCGGTGAAAATTACACATTTGACTATAATACACGTTAGAATGCACGCATGGGCGCAGACCAGTCTAGCTATGCACACTGGTTGCGTAGATTCGCAAGATGACATTTTGAAAATGGGTGCAGGATGTTATCGGGGGGGGGGGGGGGAATAGG